AATCACCTTGTATAGTGCAATATGATTCGCTTGTCCTATAATGGGTCTAAATGAGCCAAACGTAGCCAGAGCAAAACCCCCATCACCCCTACCTAATGTAAGAGTCTGACTGAAAAAGACAATACAGAAAGCAACAACGACAGTATTCATGCCAAAGAAACTCAACAAGAGTAAAACGAAATTAAGTAAACTAAACTGACAGCAAAAACGAATCCATGCTTCAAATGTCATCCTTGGCGGTGGCTCAGGAGGGGGGCGGATCATCAATCCTTCGTCTTGAAAAATTCCTTGCGATCCCACCACCACAAATTCCAAAGACGCCTTCTTAACCCCTGCAATTATAGCACGAGTGAACCCGGAATCTCCGCTTGATGGTATTTACCCAACCGAAACCAGTAACACAAACAAGAAGGCCATAACCCAAGCGAAACAGCGATCCAAACTGCCCGACCCCTGCTGCGTTCGAAAGCCTTCCAACCTCTGCGATCAACGACCTGCTGTGCACCAATCCCAAGGCCCGCAGACTCTGCTTCCCCTTCTTCGTCGAGCACCTGTACGAATAAAACACAGAGTCGAATCCTTACCCTCCACGTCCGAGAACAAGGCAATCAAAGAAATCCGTGCTGAAGCCGAAGCCCTCCTACCGATCGAGGAAGAAAGCGGCGCGGCAAAAACTAACCCTAGATGACTAGGGAGACGTCCGTGATCCGTAATTTAGATTAAATACACAGAATATATACTTTGTGATAGATTAAATAGACCGAATAAATACTTTGTGATTATATTTTTAATGCACTAATATAACGGTATAATAAATCGGAGTTACAAAGATTATCTAACCATTTTTCTTTCAACTTTTTAATGTATTTGGTATTGTTTCAAATAAACTGTTCTCATTTCAAGCAATGACGTAAGTATCTAAATCTAATCTATCTAAAAGCATTAGATTTGTGAACAAAGGTTCGTACCCTTCATTTATGTCAATACATTGTATGCATAAGAGATTGTACATTAATGTTAAAAGTTTGTACTCTACAATTCACATTGACTTATATATCCGTGCTCCGTTAAAACATCTATCTCTTCCGTTAAATGACTTTTACACCAATAGCAAATCCTAGAGACGACGCTGAAACAAAATCCTTCGTTAAATTAATTCTTCAAATCCGACCATTACTAATAAATGTTGAAGACTTGAATCATGATGAACAAAAAGAAGTTGAATTCTTATATTTTGGAATGAAGCCATATATCCTCCAGCAGCCTCTAATATAATACTCCGTAAATCTTTCCAACAAGATAAAGAAACTTCTAACATCATAAAATATAAAAGATATGATCATTTAAGTGAAAAACGCATAGTTTGAAGCATCACTTTTATAAAACTAAGAAAGGCCTAAAATTGTTAAATGTGGTAAATACATTTCCCAGTGATCAAAATGGTACATGAACTTGTTTCAAGTGGAGTAAGTAGTACTTCATCTTACACTTGAAACTACAAAGTACATGAACTTTCACTTTAAAGTCGATTAAGTACATTTGCTCTGTTAGAACTTTAAAATAACTGATCTGGCCAAACAATCAGTTTGTAATATACCGTTGCAGCAGTCCAAGTCATCAAATAATTAATCTATAAACTCTGATTTCTTTCACTCCACTCGTTTCCACCTTCCCTCTTCTTCTTATATTTCTCATGTTTGCTCTTCATCTTATATTTCTCTCATCTGCTCTCCAAGGGCGGAGCTAGGGCACTGGGCCAGGCTGGACCAGTACAAAGAATATTTTTGGAAAAAAAATTACACAAAATTTTTACTTTAAAATTAAACTATTTTCTAAATTTGGGGTGGACCAAGACCTAGGTTGACCCACCTCTAGCTCCGCCACTAATGCTCTTCTTCTCTCGGCTGCTTTCCCGGCATGTTATCCTGTCGACTTCTTCTTTTATTTGCTATAGCCTATAGGTCCATCTTTATTATAGAAAGAGGAGGAGGAGGAGGAGGAGGAGGAGGAGGAGGAGGAAGAAGAGGAGGAGGAAGAGGAGGAGGAGGAGGAGGAGGAGGAGGAGGAGGAGGACGAAGACGAAGAAGAAGAAGACGAAGAAGACGAAGGAGGAGGAGGAGGAGGAGGAGGAGGAGGAGGAGGACGAAGACGAAGAAGAAGAAGAAGAAGACAAAGAAGACGAAGAAGGAGGAGGAGGAGGAGGGGGAGGAGGAGGAGGAGGAGAGAAATATAAGATGTAAAGCGGAGAGAAGGGAGAGCACGCGAGAAAAATATAAGATGATGTGCAAAGGTGAAAATGAGTGGACATGAGAAATACATAGATTAATTATTTGATGACTAGGACTGCAACTGTATAATACAAACGGATAGTTTGGCTAGGTCAGCTATTTTAACGTTTTAACAGAGCAAATATACTTGATCAACTATAAAAATACAAGTTCATGTACTTTTAAATTTCAAATTCAAGATGAAGTACTACTTACTCCCGTCAAAACAACTCCATTTATCACTTTGGTCATTTTATCTTATTTAATTGGTTTCCACCACTGTACTTGGGACATTGGGTCTAATAAAATTTGCTCTAATGTGGATCTAAAGTTGTCATTCATTTTATATTGGACATAGGATCTCGCGCATTGCGCATATGAGGCACTAGTTACTAAAATAAGAATGAAGGCCAATAATGTGATTTCTTATTGTAACTATATTCAATTTTACACCATAGTGAGATAGTGAGCATGACGTTATACTCATAGTAATTGTAATTACATTTTTCTGAGTTAAATTTGAGTAATATTTTAGAAAAATCACTTTTCATTTTCTTAATTCAGATAGTCATTTAAAATATACGGAGTACAATATAAGAAAAAAGAGACCTAATTGTTTAAGACCTTATAAGACGTACTTTTTAGTTGGTTTTATGTGAGCATGAGACCGTATTACGTTACATTCCGCAAACACATGGAGCCCATTTAAAGAGGAATCGACCAACGTCGACACGTCGTTAGCACTTATCACTTTAAGCTTAATTGAATATTTCTCATCTCTATTTTGAGGTGTTAAAAAAAGTATTCAAACTATAAACAAAATATTAAAGTCATAGCAATTCACGTGCTATATTTGTCTTGTTTGCTTAATCTCGTATCATTAGTGTAAATAACGTGCATGTGTGTATATACGAAGTGAATGGCTTACCCAATAACGTACACTTTATATCTATCATTAGCCCTTTTTATGATAAGTAATCTTGATTATTCACCTATCAAAAAAGCACTATCTCTTCCCGTGACGGAGCCAGAAAAACGGTCCAGATGGGTCGAAAATCAAATATATATAAAATGAAAATGGAGAACCGTTTTTATACAATTTCTGAGTTAATATTTCATATGTAATTTAGATAAATAGACACTCGTAATAATAAGATGGATTGTCTTTGCTCTGTTTCAGAGTCATATCAAGTAAGTAATGAGTTAATTATACATTATTTTTAGATTTAAGGAAAACAATCCATATTACACATCAAATTTTGTTGATTTTACGTTGAGGTGATGTTTATTTTTCAGAAGTCATAACTTTTTACTCGTAATGAGTTACAGGGGCCATAATATATCAAATCGAAGATATTCAAAAGTCTATATCCTCAAACTTTCAGCGGGGTCGGCTGACCCCTGATCCCCTTGGCTCCGTCCCTGATATTCAAAAGATTAGCACGATTATCTTTCAATTCACGGTCCGTGATAGTACCCGAAATCATATACGAAGTACGGAGTATAATATATACACTAATACACAATGTATACGACCCTCAACCAATCCAATGTTGCGATTTGCTTTTAATTTGTGGAATACATTGTACTTTATATTAATGCATGTGTCATCACATCATATCATAAGTTGGTGATCTTTCTTCACCAAACAAACAAACATGTAAGGATAGTTCCCTTATGAGATTTGGTCCTCGGTAAGAAACTGATCTTCACTCCAAGAACTGTTTTTCGATGGGTACTCTTTTAATTTCGATTATATATATATGATATATGAAAAAATTAATTTATTTACAAAAAATTCGCCGTTGTGCACATTTTCATTTCAGAGTGCACTTGAAATATAATGCAGTAGATTTATTTTCTGCTCTTCTTAGATTGCTTTGTAATTGGTTCCATATTCAATGTACTCATACATACTTATTGGCTCAGGCTCATGGGCGTATCTTGGGAGGGACAACCTATACCCCTGCCTAGCCCAAATTTAGAAAATATTTGAAATACTACTGTAAAATATTTTGTGTTATTTTTTTTCTAAAAAGTTTTGTACCAATCCAGCCCAGTTTGAGCGTCTATCTATGTCACTACTCTGGTTGTATAGCGTGCCAAATATTTGCATCATCAACAATTTTTGTTGTATAGACTTTACTTTTTACACACTTGTACACACTACTTGTGAAGGCTTTTTTGTCACAGAAAAAATATGACAGACAAAATACGTTATATTCGTGACAGATGAAAAAACATTCACATGCAATTTATAAAAATGTGTAAACAGTAAAAAGGTGTACAAAAGACTTATTTGGTGCATTATAGACACATTGCGTAAGAGCTTCAAAGCAAATTAGGGCTTGGGTCCCAGGCAGGCTTCCTTAGCCTTATTACATTCGTTGCTTCTTCTAGTCATTCAAAAATGATTTGGCAACACATTTAAATGAAATAGTTAAGTAGCGTGTTAAGATTGAGGCGTGTTTTCTGAGTATTCCCGACCCTTTTCTTTCCCACCTGAACCCCACCTTTGATTCCTTTAGATATTTAGACCTATCTTAATCCGATGTGTTCGTGGCAGCTATTACTGCCAGAATTAGTTAGGTATAAACACATTCCAACTTAAACTAGATTCGAAGAAAAATCAATGACAAGAATCTAGAGATTCTGATTGTAACAAATGGGCAACTGAATCTGCCCGCGGGTAACGAGACCAGACAATGATTCATAAGTCCTTCAAATTTAGAAATTGTAACATCCATAATATTCATAGAACTTGGGTTTAAAATAACTTAAAATCCCATCGTTTTCATTAGTGCAGAATTATGTGGGAGATGTATGAGACAAGTGACAAAAATGTACAGCCAAAAACAAAGCAATTATTTCCATTTGCAACTTGTACTGTTTATTTAGCATATGCTGCTACAACAGCACCTTTCATTCATCTCTTACAAAAAAATAAATGGAAAGGACAGAAAATAGAAACAATGCACCTCACAGCTCATAGTTCACACCTACAGACTAACAAAGAAAGATGAGGTAAGGTGGGGGAGGCAATGGAAGAATGCAGCTCTTCACTACTTGAGGAACCCCCCCCCCCCCCCCAACAAGAATTCTTATCTAAAAGAGGTAACTAACAGGCCCCCCAATATCACCAATGCACCAAACTTCTTCAAATTGAAATGTACAATAAATATTGCTGACCCGAACAATAATAGTAACAAGCCTGAAGAGGTTTCTGTGTATATACCAGTTGTTCAGCAAAACCCCACAGTCATGATCTTCAGAGTAGCAATGTTTTTGGTTTATCAATAATCAAGGCTTAACTCCTTATTATCAATTATGGCATTTTCCTCGGGAATCCTGCCCGAACCACGGTTGGTAATTCTGCCGAACGATCCCACTGCTGATAACCCCTTGAAGCTACTACTCCCTCCGCCATCACTAATGTTATGGGATCTCTTATTAACCTTCCTCACCTTTGAGCTGGTATCCAGGTGATCAATGGTGTCATCATTACTATTATTGTTAACCTTTACTACAACACTCAGCCGTTCGATGCTGCTCCGGCAAAACGGGCAGACGGGAGGGGCAGTAACAGCAGTGGTCGGGTTGGGTTTGTTGTGACAGCACAGAGAAAGTACGCATTGTGCGCACATTTGGTGACCGCAGTCTTGCACCTCGATTGTGCAGAGTTGATCAAAGCATATGCAACAAAGACCTGTATCACTGACCTGCATACGTAAATATTTCCCAGGGTCAGTTTTGATGAACGATTGTGGAGGACTTTGATTACATTTTGATTACTATAATGTTTCTGAAACTGAATAAAGACCTACTCCAATGTTATGTGATCACCCTGTTGTTTTATCCCTTCAGTTTCAATAACCTCAAATATATATAGTGGTATACAGTAAACGCTGAAAACCCCTTTTCTGGAACTGGCCCTTAGAGAATGCTATTGCTTCCCCAAGTTGAAGGATTACCAAGCTACAAGTCTTACCAACTAAGATTGTCATCTGAAGCTAAGTTTATGAAAATTTTGCCAACATCCTCAAGCCATAAAGTATACACTCATCCGGTCGTACTAATCTGTCTAGCTTATTTAAATTTCATGTACTCTATATTAATAAAGTTTGTATAAAAATTGAACATTCAAAAGATAACTTGTTTTTACTAAAGATACCCTTTTCTATGAAGTTCCTACACAATTACTAAACTAGTACAAAGGCATGTTATTATTTCTTTAGTTATGATGGTAAAGTATAAATAAAAGCTTCATATATTTTAAAAAACAAGTGTGTAAAGATGAAAAAGAACAACCTTTTGAAAGAAGTGGACAGATAAATAGGATGCAAAATCCTTGGAATTTCAACAAATTTGCCAACATTCTACCATCACAAATTCTGAAGGTCGTCATAAAAAAATATCTACTCAAACAGTGGGGGTTATTTTACCTCAGAAATATTGTCATCATCAAAGTTGGCTTCAGAATGAGAGGGAGAAGGAAGGATGTAAGAGGTCCCCTTTAATATGATCTTTTCCCTCTCTCTATTAGCATCCATCAGAGCCCTCTCCAACAAAGCTTTTGCATCTTCATTTAGCTCACTGATGAACTTCAGAGGCGAAGGCCAAACTATTGGCTCTGCCGATGAAGGGTTTAGCAATGCTGCACATGCACTGTGGTTATGCCTTAAAGCAACCATATATGGTATTCTCCTGTAAATATTGAGATTTTGGTTAGACAATGAGGAACAATGTGGATATCCAAAGAAATCTTTGAAGACACACTCCTTGGCTATGTTTGGAATGCGAAAAAAGAGGAAGATGGGAAAAGAATGTTGAAGAAACTAGTTTCATTTTAAATCAATTTCAATTAAAACATTTTAAAGTTCTACATTCATTTTCACTCCATATGTTTAGTCATTACATAACAGAAATATATCAAAAAATTCAACTCATAACTGAGAAATATATTGAGAATGAATAATTTTTTATGTTTTCCCTGAACTTCTTTCATTCGGAATTGTTATCTATTTTTCACCCTATTTTCTTTCCCATTTTTTCAGGTTCCAAACAGAACCCTAGTGAAAAAGTAAAAAAAATGAAATTAGTACCCAGAGGCATCTCTTTGGATTCGATCGCCACCCCATGCTAGCAACTCACGAATACAATCAAGAGATCCACCCCTTGCAGCCAAATGCAGAGGAGTGCTGCCTGGAAAACTGTTATTACACTCTGACATCTCAGTCTAAAAATTTAAAGAAAAAAGTATAAACCAAAAACAGAAAAATAGGTTTCAAGGATCACCCATATCCGCCTGTTGATGCACAGACCAAAGCTCCACTGTTCAACAACAAACGAACATTATCAGGTCGCCTTTGGCGAGAAGCCAAGTGCAAAGGTGTTGCTCCCTTGCCATCTCTCACATTTACAAATCTGGCAAACCCCCTACACATTTTGTGATTCAGCCAGCAACATTAGATAGTTCTCCATAACAAATCAATCCATAAAGACTAAGGCTCCATTTGGTAGCCAAATCCAGCTTATTCTCAAAATAAGTAGTTTTGACTAACTTATTTGGCTGAAATAGCTGTTAACCAAAGGATTTTCCATTCCGGGAATTCAATTGAATCAACCATTTCGGCCAAAACAATCACCGGCCCTTAAGAGAAGAGAATAAAAAGAACACTAGTCAGCGAGTTGCTAACCAAGAAACAGAAACATGGGAGGTGCGCGCGGCAGAGAGAATTGTTTCAAGGCAATCGGAATGGCCATAGTAAGCAGCATAGTGTAAACACGTTCGTCCATGAAGTGAATCGAACTTTAATATCTATTCATCAAATTTCCAAGATCAGCCACATAATAATTTCCTATTTCTACTTCCAAATTAATGGGATGCTTACATTAGCCCCGGCTTCGATGAGCTTCTGGACACAGGTGATCTTTCCATGCATTGCAGCCAGCATCAGTGGAGTCTAAACCATTCAAAACCAACCAAAACAATAAACACCATCAGCCTTCATTAGAGAGAAATATAAAGAATATGCACAAAATATCCAGCCAAACAAGGAAGAAGAATAAGAAGAAGAAAGCGGGAAACACAGGACCTGCTTGTAGCGATTCAACACATCCGGGTTGATAGATATGTTTAACAGCATATTAACAACCTGACAAAATTAACCGATACCCATCAATCAAATGCACATAAAAACATTAATTTCAGTAAATAAAGATTGAAGCTTTCAAAGAAATTAGAGCTGACCTCGATCTGGCCATTGGCAGCAGCTATATGCAAAGCAGAATGGCGATCATACACCGTGGTTTGGTGAACCAGGCCCGGTTCTTTAGCCAAAACAGCTTCCACCATCTCCAAGTCCCCACACTGCACGGCAGAGAACAGCCCGTGCTCATCCGTCGCTCTGCAACTCATCCCCTGACCCATTCTGGAAATCACTCGCAGTATGGGGCCGGAAGGGGAGAAAGCACCTCCGCACCACGGTGGTTCGTGGCGGCGGGTATGGGCGGATCAGAGGGTGGAGGAGGAATATGAAAGCGTATGGTCTACATATATATTCAATGTATACAAGTCAGGGCCGTCAGTACAGGTACAGCTGACTGTGGAAGTTTGGGAGTCAAGCTGCCCGAAATTGGGAGAGATGAGAAAGGGGGCAGCTGACCGTGTCAGAGAGAAGGATGGTGAAACGCTGAAACCCAAACAGAGAAGTGACAGCGGTCAGAAGTCAGATTCCCAAAACAAATAATAAGACGCCGGCGTCGCTCCTACCGTTTGCTGGTCCTGATCGGAGAATGGTCTTCATTTTAACACTGAAATGGGTGTATCTGGGCCGTCGGAATGGGCGACCTTTGTACCATAGCCGCCGGATGACCTAACGCCATTTCCGTTTTTTACTTTGCAGAATCTGAAGATTGACTAAGCTGCAATTAAGGAATTTACCCAAAGTCTCCATCTTAGCTTCCACAGTGCTTCAATCAAATCAACTCGCAGACCGATCAATATACCGAACAGTCGAACACAGTAATTTTATCGTAATTCGTAATGGTTTACCAATGAGAGTAAAACCGTTCGATCTACCCCGTAAGCGGTGGCGGAGAAATTTTACATACTCGGGTAAATACTACTCCCTCAGTCCCTCTGTATATACGGGAGTATAGCCTTTGGCACAAGATTTAAGAAGAAATTAATAGGAATAAGATAAAAGGTGTAGTGAATTGTGTGTAAAGAAAAAATTAGGAAAGATAATGAGAGTAAATTGGTATATTCATTGAAAAAACTTATCAAAAATGGAAAGGGAGACAACTAATAGAGAACATCTCAAAATGGAAAAAGAGACAAGTATTAGAGAACGGAGGGAGGGCGTACCTCTCTAACATTTTGGCACAATTTTTAATAAAGTGTTAGAAAAGGTAAAAGTTGTAGTTAAAAGTTGAGTATAGTAAAGCAGGGGCGGACCCAGAAAATTCACCTTGGAAGGACGGTCATTTAAACAAAATATATTTTGGGAGGGCGAAAATTATTTTTCGTACATATTTACACTAAAGAAATCTTTGTTGGAGGGCGGTAGCCCCCTTGGGTCTCTACTACAGTACGCCCCTGTAATAAAGTGAAATAGTGTAAACCACATATTTCTTTTCAAAAAGATAAATGTGACACTTATTTTAGGTCAACCCAAAAAGGAAAGTAAGACATGTAAAATAGGAAAGGGAGTAAAAAATTGTAATAATTGGTTATAGATATTTATATTTTACTACTCTCTTCGTCCCGAATTATAAGATACTTTTCGATTTACGATGTTTGACCGACGATAAAGCAAACGAATCCCTATCTGCACTCAAATTATTTTTAGAAAAAAAATTACATATTCAGAAACTACATTAAACCTGCTACAAACACTGCAAAAAATAATTCAAGTTTCATAAAATTTTGATATATAAAGTAAGAGATTAAGAGTGACTTGTGTTGACCAAGTGAATAGTAAAGATATCTTATCAAATGGGATAGAGGGAGTATAACAAATTTTTAAAATACTGCTAATAAAAATTAATGGATAAAAATGTGACGATAAAGTACTACCTCCGTCTCACTAAGATTGGGACAAGAGAAGGTCACACGAGTATCAAGAAAAATGGGTTTGGGTGGTTGATATAAAATTGATAAAGTAAAAATAAAGTAAGAATGATTTAGAGTCACACAAACTTTACCAAATTTGGTATGAGACAAGCTTAGTGGGACTTCTCGAAAAAGTAAAATGAAACAATCATAGTGGGACGGAGGGAGTACTATGTAGTATAACACTGAATACAATTAGGATGTTTTTATTATAATTGTTTTCATTCTCAGACAACACCAGACCATACTTAAACAGACTAAACCATGCTTCAATAGTTGTAAATTACGTAAAGACCAGATATTTAGTAAACCGGACTAGACCAGATTTAAACAAACCAGATCAAACCAGCAAATTACAGTCCAAGTAAAAACATTCTAGTCATTAAAGTTATCAGAATTACATTTTTTTTCACTACTTTTATTTTGGTTATATGTTTAAAATTGTTTCAACTTTTTAGGTAGTTTATGGAATTAAAGAAGGAAAAATTCACACCACTAATCCCACCTATTAGCCTTCTTCCATTATTAATCCCTACAATAATTTATTCCAAATTAATCCAAATTAATGGGGTAAGCTTCCCAAAACACTCTAACGACATTGGCTACCGGCTTACCCGGTAAATATTTTAAAAAGCCAACCTAACAACATCAAGCTTCTTTCAACCCTCTTTCAAGTGCGTTGATTTCTAACCCAGTTGTATCACCATTGCTGACAAACAACAGGTTGGTGAGATTGGCCAAGCGCACCCTTCAACGAATTGAAACGAGTTCACCAAGAGCAGTGTAATACCAGACGAAAGCTCAAAGAAGAATGGTAAAATAATTTGTCTTTGATTTTCAGCATAGTTGTTTAATGGTTTTTCTGCTCATTGGGTTGTCCGAAAAGTTACGGTTGGTGTTGTATCATTTCAGTTTTGAGTATGTTGACAATATATGATTCTTAGTGTTTGCTATTGTTCGTATTTGTGTATCTTTGCTCATAAAAAGTTGACTTGTGATGTGTTTAACAATTATAATTGCTTGTTAGGGTTTGGGCGAAACTCAAGTCAGTCTGCGCATATGGCATGGGGGAATATTTAAGAAGAACTGTCGTGGAAGACTTGAATATGTGGGAGGTCAGTTTGGGATGTTCGATATAGATGCAGACGAGCTATGTTGGTTTTGGTTAAAAGATTTGGCTAAGAAATGTGGGGACTATTGTACAATAGAGCCATTTACTACAAGGTACCTAATGTAAGTTATGAAGAGGGATTACGAAGGGCATATCATGATGATCAAGTCAGAGATATGATAGCATTAGTGTTAAAGACCAAGTGCATTGACTGCTATGTTATTCATGGAATTGATGTTCCTGATTTAATTGAAGCCATTGAGTATGTGGGGCCTAGTGTTGGTGGAGAGATAATATCATCCAACAACAAGAAGAAACTTACTCCAAAGGGAGGAAGTAAGGGAAAGGGTGTTACAGATGAAATTTCTTCAACTTTTCTTCAAAAAATTGCTATGAAGATTAATAATGAAAGTTCTTTCACACAGCCCTTGACAACTGATTCAGAAGCATTTGAATGTGACAAACCAAACAGCCATTTCACATGGGATGAAATGGAAGAGTCATCTGACCCAGAGTTTCATCCAGCAACTGAAGAGGAGAAAATAAATGGTGAAAGTTCTGATTTGGAAGGTCTTATTTGAAATGATGAAGACATGGAGAACATAGAGGAGAGGTTGTTTGGATATGAGGAAGATACAAGTGATGAAGAGTATCAAAAGGTGAGGGAAGAAGTAAAGGGCTGGAATGCTAAGATATTGGAGATTGTCAGTACACTTGAAAAGGAAGCCGTTGAGGGTAAACTTCCAGGACAAAGTCACAGAAGAAGTAAGACTCATGTGCAAGAAAATAAAGACAGTGATTCTGCCTTTAATAGTGAATATGAAGACACAGATGAGGAAATGTTAACACCTGATGAAGATGAAGAACAATACCAATTGAAGAAAAAATGAGGGAAAAGATTTCAATGGTGAATGAACACACAGATTACAACATATTGGAGTGGAAAGTAGGGACCAGGTTTGAAAGTAGGGAAAAATTCAGAGATGTGGTGGTTAAGTTTGTAGTGGCCCAAGGGAGAAACCTAATGTTCAATGTAAGTGATAAGAAAAGGCAGCAAAGGTTGGGTGCAAAATGTGTGCCCGGGTGTCCCATCAGGATATATGCTAGTTGGGATAGTAGAAGAGGCTCGTTTGTGGTGAAATCACTAGTGGGTGCTCACATGTGTCACAAAAACATGGAAGCTAATAAACAACTTAAATCTTCATGGGTAGCTAAACAGTTTAAGTTTTTAAATCAAGACCCCATTGACCGGCTAAAGAAATTATTGAAACTGTAAGAAGGGCATACAAAGTTGTTGTTAAGAAGAACTTTGCTTACAAAGTGAAGTACATTGCCCATAGAAAACTTCATGGGAGTATGAAGGATCACTACAACAAACTAGGGAGGTACATAGAGGCCCTGGCTCTTGCAAGTCCTGCTAGTCACTTCCAGCTTGAAGTTAACCCGGAATTGAGAGTGTTCCCCCCTGTATTTCAGAGACTTTTTGTGTGCTTTGATGGTGTTAAGCAAGGATGGTTACAAGGGTGTAGAAAAGTCTTGTGTGTGGATGGATGTTTTCTAAAAACATTTCTAGGTGGTGTGTTGGTATCAGCTATCGGAAGAGATGCAAACGAGAAAATGTATCCTCTTGCTTGGGCAGTGGTAGAAGGGGAAAATAATGACAGTTGGGAGTGATTCTTTATTCAGCTTAACAAATCAATTGGTGAAACAGATGGTTCTGAACTCACAATAATTTCTGATGAACACCGGGTAAATCTGATTATTCCTTATTTCTAGTTGATTGTACTTTATGATCATTCTTCTTGTACTAAATATATTTTTACTATTTTCATAGGTTATTCTGAATGGAGTACAGAAAGTTATCCCTAAAGCAGAACACCCACACTGTGCGAGGCACATATATGCTAACTGGCACAAGAACCATAGAGGAGATGAGCTGAAAATGGCCTTCTGGAAAATAGTTAAGGCATACAATGAGGCTGACTATTATGATGCTTTGACTGAGATGGAACAACTGAGCCCAACAGCCACACAAGCTTTCAAAGCCTATGATCCAAGAAGATTCTGCAGGTCTTTTATACAAACAAAGACCAAATGTGATGTCATTGTTAACAACATGGCCGAGACATTCAATGGTTATATTCTAAATGCTAGAACAAAGCATTTGATCTTCATGATGGAAGACATCAGGACAGCTTTAATGCAAAGAATTGTTCAGAAAAGACAACAAATGGAAGTTAGTCACCACTTCATATGTCCTAGGATACAGACAAAATTAGAAAAAGAGAAGGAAGAAGCAGCTAAATGTGCAGCAATGCCATCATCTCTTATGGTATTTCAGGTGAGCCATAAAATGGATAGTGTCACTGTGGATCTGGCATCTATGACCTGTACATGTAGAAAATGGGAATTGACTGGAGTCCCATGTTGTCATTCCATTGTGTGCATGTTTTTTCTCCACCACGCCCCTGAAGAGTATGTGCATGATTATTACAAGAAAGAGACATACATGAAGGCATAAAGCGGTTCTATCCCCCCATGTTGTGGTGAAAGACATTGGCCAAGAAAAGAGCTTGCTTTGGACCCTCCTCCAATAAAAATAGGACCTGGGAGACCAAGGAAAAATAGGAGAAAAGATCCACATGAATATCCAAAAAAATCCGGGAAGTTTACCAAGCATGGAATGGAGATGTCTTGTAGCATATGTAAGTCCAAACAACACAATAAAAGGAAATGTCCTGATAAAGACAAAATCACATCCTCAAGTGTTCAAAACCAAGACAAGAAACCAAGGGGAAGACCTAGGAAGCATGGCATACCTTCTGTTGAGACTGAAAGGCAAAGTGAGTATGGT